CGACGAACCTGACCTTCCTATTTCGTCGCACCGAACCACTCCCGAGTCGGCCTCCGCTCCAATCGCAACCATCACCGAGCCATCCTCGCCCAATCTTTCCGCCTAGCTAGTTTTTTCCCTATTTAGGCCTCGCTACTTCATTGTTCATTCAGACATTCTGTAATTCTCATTCTCGATATTCGTTTTACTGCGCACTCTGCAAGTTCATTCATAACATTTAAAAACTATGCTACACCCTTTGCGTCTCTGTTACACCCTTCGCATTCGCGAGGCCCAATCATTTGGTCGGAAATGTTCCACGCCCTAGTAGAAGTTGTGATCACTCTTCGATATTGACTTCCGCGCACTCTTCGATATTGAAGTCAATATTACCAACTCCGCTTGCTGTGTCGCATCACAAAGTAGAAGAGAAACGGCGTGTCACAATTCAGCATATTGCGGTGGAGTGCGATGTTGTGCAAGTCCGACATGTTCATTACGTCTGGAAGGTTTCGAGCAAAAAACGAATACGTATGACATGGCCCAAAAGGGTTTCGCAACAGCGCGCACAAGTTAGTGAGTCACCCGTCAGCAACTAGTCACATCAATAGGGCTTCCGATGGCTTTCGCAGCGCGCATTATCTTCACCGGAGGACAGGACGTTTCCTGGCTGATTTATGACGCTCCCTTCATCAAAGAATGGCACATCTGACGAGTTTTTCCTGTGAATCGTAGAATCTTGCATTCGAAGATGAGTAAGTCGTCTGGACCTGGACCTGTCGCGCTGGTTCCCCACTCAAGCGAAATCGATGTCGTTCTTGCAACTAGCGGAGAGAGTGGCGATTTTTTCCAGTCGTGGTACGATGTGTTGAGGCCGTACCACATCATCGTGGTTCAGACTGGTCCTGATGCATCCGCGAAGCTGAGAGCACCACCTGGGCTTGATGTTGAATCGTTCACAAGGAGCGATGTCAAGCGGATGCTGGGAAACCGTTCTGCATGCATCTCGTCGAAAGACAGGTGAGCTCAGGATACTTCTGCCAAACAGGTTGCTGTCACGTAAGCTTACACTGGTGTGAAACTCTCTCCCTCTCCCTCTCTCTCTCTCCCTTTCTTCCTCTCTCTCACTCCCTCTCTCTCGCTTTCTCTCCCTCTCTCGCTCCCCCTCCCTCTCTCTCGGTCCTTTTCTCCCTCCCTCGCTTCCCCTCCCCCTCCCTCGCTTCCCCTCCCTCTCCCTCGCTTCCCCTCCCCCTCCCTCGTTTTTCCTCCCCCTCCCCCTCGCTTCCATTCCCCCTCGCTTCGCCTCTCCCTCTCTTTGCCTCTCCCTCTCTCGATCTTCAACAGTGCGTGCCGATGCTTTGGGTGGCTTATCTCGAAGAAGAGGTTCATTTACACGCTGGCCGACGACTGCTACCGTTTGAAAGGTTTTCCAGCTCCAGGATTGGAGTTGGATCCGGTGCTGAAGCACATTCAGAATCTTCAGAGGCCAGCAACACCACTTCACTTTAACACTCTTTACGACCCATTTGAGGACTCCACGGATTTTGTCCGTGGTTATCCTTTCAGGTATGCGCACGATTTCCTTCTTTTTTTCTTTTTCGTTTATTTAAAATGTTCTCACGTTTGTGCGTGTCTTGCAGTCTGCGGGAGGGTGTCAGGACTGTAATATCTCACGGTCTCTGGCTGAATAACCCCGACTACGATGCCCCGACTCAGCTTGTCAAGCCGAACGAGCGCAATCTTCGCTATGTAGACTGCGTGCAGACCATTCCCAAAGTAACATTGCTACCTACTGTTTCTGCATTGTTCTCCAGCTTTACTACTGGGGTTGGAAGACCAACTGACATGGTGCATTTTGCAGGGTGTTTTGTTTCCTATGTCAGGATTCAACCTCGCTTTTGACCGTGAGATCATTGGCCCCGCGATGTACTTTCCGCCCATTGGTGAAGGACAACCTTTCGGCTTTCATGATGACATGTGGGCTGGATGGTGCTCGAAGGTAAGTAGCTGCCTTGAAATTTTGTAGATGTGTACTGTCAATATTATTTTGATGTGGGATGTTGTTCTCCAGGTTATATGCGACCATTTGCGGTACGGTGTGAAATCAGGGCTTCCCTACGTTTGGAGGCAGAAATCCGGAAATGCGTTCGCCTGCTTGAGGTAATTCTCGCATATGTTTTTTTTTTTTTTTTTTTTTTTTTTTTTTTTTTTTTTTTTTTGGTAATCCTGCCAAGCGCTGGCATGCTGATGTTTTCATTTGTGCAGGAAGGAGTACAAGGGCATTTTCTGGCAAGAGGAGATTGTACCATTCTTCCAATCCATGCAGCTACCTGCTGAAGCTACAACGGTGGAGGCATGCTACCTGGAAATCGCCAAACAGGTGAGTAGAGGCTGCAGTAATTTCCTGCTCTGTCTCTGGGGTTCTTCCTGACCTTTTTCTGCCTGGAACTACTCTTTCTATTTCTCAGGTGAAGGAGAAGCTTGGCAAAGCTGACTCATCTCTTAACAAGCTGGCAGAAGCCATGGTTACCTGGATAGATGCATGGAAGACTATGAATTCTTCCTCAACACCTCCACCTGAGGTTGATCACTGAGGGTTAAGTAGTAGAGAAGATACACAATAGAGCAGCCTGTTCAGCTTTACATTTATTGATATGCTGCAACAGCTACATGTGCAAACCTGGGCACAGTTTCTATGCAAAAGCCTCTTTGTGGCACAGTTTTTATGCAAACCCCTCCTGTCGTGCATAGCAGGACAGGGCTTCACAGTTTAAAAGGTGCTTGAGCTTGACCCTTCAAAGCTGTGATGAAAGAAGCTATGACCGTTACCTGGAGCACGAATCATACCATGGATGTGTTGTGGTCAGGTTTCCCATGTGATAACGAGCAATGATGGATCTTTACTGAGATTATACAACCCCAAGAGCTTTGTATTATACATACGGGTACTACAATAAATAGTCGTACAACAGGTAAGTTTGATCTTCTCCAGGTTTACTGAATGTTGATGTTCTTGGCAGCAATCGTGTAAGCGGCATTTGTAGGATCACTGTTAACTCCAGCCCACGAGCCACCGTTGATGAAAGAAGCGTTCCATAAGCTGGAGTATAAATAGACGTTCATAGAGGGAAAGCTGCTGCTCGTGGATTTCATCACCGTGCGCACGAGTTCGCCATCAATGAACCATCTGTAAATAGAAATGCGTCAGCAACGCCCCTACCGTACTCTGCAAAAAAAAACTCGCCCAAACATTGCCCTACGTTTTACAAAACATTGCTGAAAGTAGTCGCGGGGCAACAATGCTGTAGGTTTATCATGATGCATCATCGGCCTCTGAGCAATGGGATGGTATACCTCAGCCGACGAAAACTGCCGCCCAATTTCGCGGTTGCGATAGGACAACGAACCCCCTCGGGATTGACGAGCTCCTGACGACTTGCGAGTGGCAAACTGGGGCGACCAGGCAGTCCTCTGGGGCTCTGAACCCCTCGAGATTGTCGACTATCTGACGACCTCGGGTTTCGCTGAGAGAAACCCGAGAAGGATACCTCAGCGGACCCTGAACCACAGCTCGACACGTTGTGCGCCGAGCCGCGATTACTGCCACGTGGCTTAGTAGGGACGGCCGAGATCGAGCCTGACAATCGGGAGGTGCCACGACGGCGCCGACGTGGCCCCGCTTCGCACCACCGGGTATATTTCGCTGCGCGACCAAACAATGCATAGGCGAAGAGAGCCCCAGACTCATGGAAATGTCGGCGTCGACCAAGCCTCCGGCCACGCGCCTACTCGCAGGTCGATGAGGTTTGCGCGGGAGAGCTGGACGCTACGGCATTTCGGGAGAGTGGAACTAGGTGATTGGCCTATTGCACGTGGCGCACGTGAATTCCACCGTGGCAAGGCACCGGCGGGAGTGCCGTTGAGCGCAGAGCGGCGTGACACTAGACATGCATCGATCGTGACACGTCATGCACGTGCACAGCGGCGCTTGCAAAGAGGGCTGCGTGGAGCGCGGCAGGTGCGCAGTGGCTCGCAACCATACCCCTCCTTGACCACGCACATCGCTCTCATTCTGCCGGTTCAGCTTCATGTTTCTCTCATGCTCCTGTGCGCCATCTAGCACTTCGTTTTCTTCACAGGACCCTCGCTATCTCTGCGGGTGTAGGTTACTCGACGGCCGAGTCGACCGAGCGGCGGGACAAAGGCGACGACCTGGAATAGAGTGCCATAGGTCGGTGTTGGGGTCGACCATCGTCGACTTCGCCTTACTAGGTTCTAGGTCGTCATATAGGAAAGTCGGCGACGATAGATCAGGGCGACGATAGCATCTCCCAACCTTACCGAGTCGGCGACGCATGGCCAGAGGAAGGGCTAGTGCCCAACAGCCACAACAACTTATCCCACCCCCCGCCGATTCGGTAGACGACGACATCAAAGCGCAACTAGAATGACTCGAGGTCGACGCTGAGTTAGAAGCACGACTCGAGGTCGACGCTGAGTTAGAAGCACTTGGGAGGGAATTCGAGGAAGGCCGCCGCAGGACGATTACGGCGTACACCGCACCCGTGAATCAGTACCATCTCTGGTTGACCAATCTTTCCCTCTTCCACGGCCGGCGGTAGAGCATACGAGCGGTCATGGACGACGTCGACATGCCCGACGTTGGTACCCCAACCGACCACAGTCCGTCCTCTGCCCCCGTAGAGACGCTGAAGTTGCTTTACGATCTTGACAAACTTACTCAGATTCCCGAAGGGGAGTACACCAAGGACATACCGAATCCGCCAATTGGGGAGTTTACGAAGAAGTCGACACCGACGGTAGATGGGCAGACTGGACCTTCGTCGGTGCCGGCCGGCTCGGAAAACCAAGGTGGTGACGACGACGACGAGAGCGACGACGAAGTTGACGACCGTCCTCCGCGTAGCACGAATCCGCGCACCTTGGAAGAATGCCTTAGGCGGGAATTCGAATACATACGTGACATGCTCGAAGTGGACGAGGAGGAGGACAATCAGCACATGGCGGTGCCGCGCGAAGGGTGGAAGGCGACGGACTTTGTAGTGGACGACATGGTGTACTCCAGCATTGACGTGCTCATAATGGACGCCCTACGACACCTACAATGCTTGGAGAAGAATAGCACGCTCAGGCTGTACACCGCGTTCATCTACCACTACAAGAGGTGGGCGGCGAAGATGCTGAAGCAGATATGCGACAAGCTACCCCATGAGCAACGACTTAGGCACGTCGACGAGATCGACCACTACATCTGCGACAACAAGAAGAAGGATTGGTGCAACGAGAAAGTGGTCCGCCGACAGTACATCTGGCTGCACGGCCCTAGGGTCACCGAAACCCGGCTGCGCGCCTACGTGAAGCAAATGAGCCGTGAGTGTAACCTCATTGTTGACCAGCCCGGGGAGGAGAACAATGCCACGCGAACGGGGTCTGTGAGGTCGACAACTGTGCACACGATCCTCGGGCGCATAAAGGCATGCCAGATGGCGGCGAGGGTGGAGGCAACGCTGTACCGAGAGAAGGAGCTGGGCATCATGAGGGAGATCTCGGTGGTGAGATCGGAGGTGCGGTTCAACGTCCGCCACAAGAACGAGAGGGACCTCAAGTAAGTTGGTCGACAACCTTATTATATGTCACTGTGCACTGTGAAGTCAACGCAGTCTAACAGATTTTCCCCGCCGATTTGCGTTCAGGAACTGCGCCGACCGTCGACGCGGCACCATCGGCGATACCTACACCGCCGAGCAGTTCCGCCAGATCATGATGAGGGTGCTGCCGACATGGGCGGCGGCGGCGTGGAACCCGCGTGCTACCACTCCGTCGCAGACGCTGTGGCGATTCCTCCTCATCAAGGTGCTCACGCTACTCTCCCACCACACTCTCCTGCGCGGCGCCAGCATCCGCGAGATCACGCTCCCCGACATCTTCTTGTACCACCTGGCGAGCACCTCGGAGGTGAACCCGGATAGCCAGCCGGTCGTCATGGTGATCGCCGCGCGTAACTCGAAGACTTCCAAGGATGCCCGTCTTCAGCAGAGCTACGCTGCGCGACACCTGGAAGCGGAGCTGTGCGCCGTCGGCGAGACCGGCCTGTGGCTGCACTTCATCCTCGACCAGATCGGTCAGTTCTCCGGCACCGACTTTCTTTCGCCGCCTGACACCACAGAACGCGAACGCTGGTACAAGAAGCATCTCTTCTTCGCCAGAAACGACAAGGAGCAGGAGGAGCTCTCCTCCGCCACCCACCAACGTTGGACTCGGCAGGTGTGGACGACCAACAAGGTGTTCTGCAAAAGGAACGTGCACGCCGCCCGCGCCGGAGGTGCGCAGGAGTTAGCCATCGGAGGGACGCCGCACGCCCAGATCGCCGAGCTGGGACACTGGGCTCTCGACAAGATGACGCGTGCGTACATCACGGCCATTCCCGTTGGGGTGGTGATGCCGGCTACTCGGGACTCAAGCAAGACTACTTCTTGGGGCGCAGCAGGGTCAAGCCCTCCGACAAACTCCTGGACCTGCTCGCCGAGCACATCTTCCCCGGCGTGGATGCTATGCTGCGCGATGTATGTCACTCGACGCCGACAATGTTTTTCAGTCGTCGTGGCCTAGTTGGCTGCCCAACTCCCTACTAACCCACGCCACTTTCCGACTTGCAGGCGGAGACGCGTGCCGTCAACGGGAGCGACGCCGCTGCAGCCGCAGTGCACTTCTTGCGCACCCTCGTGATGTTCCGACGAATCGTCGCCGAGGACCTCGCGGTGAAGCTCGTCCGCACACCGTGGCACCCGTACGTCCAAGGTTCCAAGCTCTGCAGGATTGCCCTCTTCCAGCACTGGGCGAAAAGGGTCGAGTCGGTCGACACCGATACGATCAAAAAGCGCCGGGACCCGACTCAGATACAACCGGAGGTGAGTTGCCGACCACGTCGGCGTCGTTGAATTTTAGCCGGTGAATTCTAACCTCTTGTCGCCTTTCCGCACACCCAACATTGCAGGAAATATCCGTGCGCATGGACACCCAGTATCACAACATGTCCCTCAAGGAGGCGCTGAAGAAGGAGGTCGAGCGCTCGGCGCTCGAGAAGCTAGGCTTTCAGGAGACGATCGAGAAGCAAAACGACACCATCGCGTCGCTCACCTCCGAGCTTGCTCGACTCACCGAGGCACTCCGTGTGTCAGAAGCCCGGAGGATGCCGGCGGCGCCGCCGTCGGCTACCGATCAAACTCCGGGCGAGGGTGGCTCCGCGGATTCGGCCAACACGGGGACCGGAGCCAAGAGAGATGATGGGAAACCCCCGCCACCCCCCCAGACAGCAGAGGAGGCCAGTTACGAGCTCAACGTGGTGCAACCTTGGCGGGATTCAAAGACCGTGCGGGACGCTTGGCGCCTCTGGAACTCCGCCACCGCCAATGACACCCGTCGTCTTTGCGACAGGGTCGCCGAGCCGGGGTTCATCGACCGCCACACCCTCCTCAAAGGCGCGACCCAGGGTGCACTCAACATGAGGGTGCGCCGCATGCTGAAGGCCATGGATGCGGTGCGCCAGCTACGCGCGAGCGACGGCGATGCCGACACCGAAGCCGTGGTCGATGCACTGAACACGATCGCGTCACCGGGCATTGGGAGCTTCTGCGATGCCCTCACGGTGCTCAACCCGGAGACGGCACCGACGATGTCCAAGGAGCCTGGCATGGGCGTCAAGGGGCTTGGCCCCAAGGTGGTCTCGAAGCTACGCCTCGCCTGTGCGCTGGTGGCGCTCGAGCTGAAGCCGACGACGTGGGTCGACCGCCTGTTTCCAGACACCTGGGAGGAGCAGATGCCGAAGACCGTGGCCGACTTGGCCAAGCAGACCGCACCTGCGCAGCGTCCTCCGTCAAAGCGCAAGAAGTCGGCATGAAGATCCTCGGTGTATATGTGTTAGCGTAGGTTGATGATGCCCTGATTTAGCAAACCGTAGTGTTCCCATCGTACTTGTTGATTCTCATGCAACACGAACATACATGATCCAACACATACATCCGAACCAGATATGTCGGACTCCGACATAGTCGCCACCATGTGTGTGCAATTCATTGTGCCTTATTCATGTCGACATCCCTGACTGCATGCAAACGGCGCAAACGGCGCCGATCACGCTATAACCGAGCAATCATACCACCTAGCGCTCCCTCCGTGCGCCGACTACGCATCCGTGCTGTCCATGCCCGCTCGATATGCGCGTCAAACGGCACATCGATGCCGACCTCCTAGAGTTTCGGCCACCTGGGCGGCGCGGCACATTCCCCAAAGCGCCGACCATTGACCATCTCGGCATAGCCGACGAGGCTCATCGCCGAGTATATACATGCATACAGCCAGACGCACTATGTCGACGCCGAGTTGCTATACGCCGACGGGGTTCATCGAACTGGGCCCGCATTTGAGTAACATGGTAGAGATAAGGTCGACCTTGCCGAGGAGTGTTCTAGTAACATGCACTACCAAAAAGTTACAGCCAACAAAAGAAATCCCAACGAAAACTATACAATCAAACGAAAAAAGAAATCCCAAAAAAAACACATAATCGACGCCGCCCATACCAGGCCATCCTAGCAAGAAGACCTACTTGCGCTCCCTCCTGCCGCCCATGGCAGATTGTTATGCCGACTACGCCGCCGTGCTGTCCTTGCCCGCTCTGCCCTTCTTCCCCTTCTTCCCCGAGCTCTCCTTGCCCTGCTTGCCCCTCGGCCTCTTCCTCCCCCTGTGTTCGATGTCGTACTCCATCTGCGCGTCAAGCGGCACCGCGATGCCGATCTTCCTGAGTTTCGGCCCATCCACGGGGCACATTCCCCAAAACGCGAGGGTTTCCACCGTCGCTCGTGCGATCAGTTTGGCCTCGGCTTCAACATCCAACCCCGGATAGGCTTTGGCCAAAGCGGTGGACTCCAGCGCCGGTGCGACGTTGTGCGCAACCTCCCCAAGGGGTTGCTGCCTGCTGATCGCGGCCTCCAGCACCGCCGTCATGACCTTCTAGAACTCGGCGGCGGTAGTCTCGTTGGCGCCGACCAACATCGCCGCCGCCTTCCCTTCGCGGACGGCATCAGCCACCTGGGCGCCGTCGCCATCCACTAAGCACCACAGGGCGCAAGCGGAGGCCGACAGCGCCTGTGCGACCTTCGCCGTCTTCTGATCCGTGTCGCCCTCCATTCTCGCCGCGGATGCAGCGACCATCCCATACGCCGCGCACATGGACACGCGATCAATCATGGCCGACATCATTGCATCCGACTTGTCGGCATCGACGGGGAACCAAATCGCGGGCAAAAGCGCATCTTGGTGCGCATCGCCTGATGTCTTGTACGCTCGATACTTCCCGAGGATATCATCGAACCTGTCACGCAATCACACGAAACTGGCCGTTAGGAACGCCGACGTCGACATCATAGCTTGGCCGACGTTTATCCGACTTACCGTGTCTTGGGGAGGAACGCGCCCCGTGCCCATATCACCGTCCACATCCCAGTCGGCAAGAACCGGACTTCCTTCCACACCGCCCTCCACTGCTTCATCACTGTTTCCTCCAAGCCGGTGAGCTCGGCCATGAGGATCTTGCTGACGTAACCGTCGTACAGGAGGTACACAATCGAGTGAAGGTACGCCAGCTCCATCTTGTCGCGGGACTTGCCGATGTATCTGCTCTCGTTCCCGACCACCTTAATCTCGCCCACCCACCCTTGCTTGTCGCCCGTGGTGTCGTGGCGGATGCCATGACCCTTCCGTTCTTTCACCTTCACCTTCTCCTCCTCCGTCGCCGCCTCCTCCTCCTCCTCCTCCTTCTCCTCCTCCTTCTCCTTCTCCTCCTCCCCCACCTCCGCCTCCTCCACCTTCTCCTCCTCCTCCTCCTTCTCCTCCTTTTCCTCCTCCTCCTCCTTCTTCTCGTCCTCCTCCTTCTCCTTCTCCTTCTCCTTCTCCTCCTCCTTCTTCTTCTCCATCTCCTCCTCCTTCTCCTTCTCCAACATCGCCGTCGACATCCCCTGTCCTTTCTGCACCGACTTCACCATCGCCGATGTCGCCCATGTTTTCTTCTTCGAGCTCGGCCTCGCTTTCCCTGCGTCGACCGTCCCATTCCGTTTCGACTTTCCCGCTCCGACCGCAGCAGTGGTCGTCTTTGGCTCCGCTGTACAGCCGATGGGACTCGCCGAGTCCAAGATGGCCAGCACAGGGGGCTGCTTGGGGCGGTTTACCGCTTCCAACAGGTCCTGGATGGCAGCGATATCGGCGTCGTTGTGGTCCTTCGCCGCCTGTGCAGGGTCAACTGATCTGCCGCCCGTGGCTAGCGCTGCACTCACGCCCTTCTCCGCCACCGCCTCGACAGTAGCCGCACCGAGTGTGTGTGCAGCTACGGTCACTGACGTCGGCGACGCGCATGAGCTGGATACCGGCTGAGCCCGTGCTGGCGTAGCCGCAGCACGTGCGCCTAACCGGGCGCGAAGCAACGCGGACTTTGGGTCCACAGGAGGACGGGCGGCGATGATAGGCGCGGTAGGTGGGGCACTGGACGTTGTGGCGGCGACCTGGGGAGTGACCGAGCGACGTGCTGTTGTGGCCGGCGCGGTACCGACCACGGGAGGCTGCTGCACGTCCTGTCGATGGGTCTCCATGCGGCCGAGCATCTCCCTGAGCGCATTCGCCTTTGGGGCGGACGGACCAGCGCGGTTAGCCGCAGCATCCACCGCGTCAACCTTGGCGGCAGACGTGCCTGCTGGTGCTGGAGTAGCCGCAAGGGACGGCCCATCGTTGTTGGCAGCTGACGGGGCGACCGGCGCGCTGCTAGCCGCAGGGGGTTTGCGGGGGATCGACGTGGTCCCCGCCACTCCGACGGACGGTACCTTGACGGTTTTGGCGCCGCCATCTATCGCCGTTGGTGCGGTCGCTAGACTGGCCGGCTTCTCGGCGACCAATGGCGGGGCTGTTGGTCCAGCCTCTTGAGCGGCAACCTGGTCGGCAGGGCCCCCCTCCGCACTCCTGATTCCATCGCCCTTGCCGTGCGTCCTTATCACCTTGGCCCCGTTCTTCTTCAGCTGGTCGACCACGCTCGTACCTCCGCTCCCATCGGCTCCCTTGCCCCGCGAGCCGCCTGGACCCGCCTGGCCGACGCCGCGGCTCCCATCGGCTCCCTTGCTCCGCTTCGAGCTCAACGCATCATCTCCGCCGCCCGCCCTTTTCGCACCCTTCTTGTCGGCCTCGTTGTCCGACGGCGACGACCCATGCCGACCAGGCACCAGATGGCCGATCACCTGGGTCATGAGGTTTAACCCGGACGCAGCAAACGACTGCTGGGTGGCCTCAGTCACCGCCTTCAACACGTCCGCCTTGAAAGACTTCATGAGCTCGTCCGGGAAGGCTGGCGGTGGGGCGGGCTGCGTGGGCGGCGGGATGGCGACGCGTTGAGTTACCGCGGCGGCGATGTTGGTCTGCGCGGCGACTAGGTGCTTCGATATGTATTCCTCCAATCCCTTCCTCGCTTCGTCCACGTGGTTGCCCAGGGCGACGACCGCGTTCGCACGTTGCACCGCCATAAACCCCTCCGGATTCTCTAGATCGTCCAACCAGCTCTCTGCCCTCTCGGCGTACGCCTTCATCGCCTCCCATGCTTCACCCATGTTGGCGGTGATGTTCTCCGTCACGGTCGTCGCCATGGTCAAGGACGCGTCCATCAGCCGACTCGACGCGTCCTGGTCGGAGGTGGCGACCTGGTCGGCCAACGACCTGAGCTTGTCCACGAGGTGGCCAATCCCCATCGCGAACCTGTCCACCCGACCCCTCTCCACTCCGAGCGCCGTCTCGAGTCGAGCATTTTCTGCCCTCAGCCACATGTTCTCATGTCGCAGCTGCGCGACGACGGCCGGCGTTGCCTGCCGACCAGCTGCTGAGGAACCCGGTTGACGGCCCGCCTCTACCGCTCCACCCCGGCGTTCCACCCCTGCGTTCCCTGTGGTGGTCTCCACGCCCGTCGGCGTCGGGGCCGCGACGTTATCCTCCTCCTTCGCGTCGCCAACCACATTGCCGACCACGTGCGCCTCCTCCACGCCGACATTCTCCGCATCGGCACCCTCCCCTCGCACGTACACAACATCCGCCGACATCCCACCCGTTCCCTCCACGGCCGCCGCCGCTCCCTCCACGGCCACCGCCGCCGCTCCCTCAACATCCTCCATCTCGAATTCGACCCAGGGGAACTCTACCTCCTCCTCCCCCTCTTGCTGCTTCTCCCCCTCCGCCACCTGCTCCACCGACCCGAAACCCTGCTCCACGGCCTCCGCCGCCGCCGCCTCCTTCTCCTCCTCCTCCTCCTCATCCTCCTCCTCCTCCTCCTCCTCCTCGTCCTCGTCCTCGTCCTCCTCCTCCTCCTCCTCCTCCTCCTCCTCCTCCTCCTCCTCCTCCTCCTCCTCCTCCTGTCCATGCCCCTGCTCACGCTCCTCACGATCCTCCTCGTTATCATCCTGATCGTCGGTGTCATCATCCTCCTCCTCCTCCTTTTCCTGATCCGCGGTCCTCGCCACAGCCCTTTCTGCCTCCTCATCTGCCTTGTCGACGCCGTCTCCGGCCTCTCCGCTGGTGTCGGCGACACCGACTGCTTGGGATGCCGAAGGGGGCTCCGCGGCGTTGTCGTCACAGGCATCGGCACCAACTCCGACATGGCCTGACCGTCTGCGTGCGACGTGTTCCTTGATGTATGTCATCATCCGAATCCGCTGCTCCTTCAACCCCGAAACGAGGACCTTGTCCATGCTGGTCGCTCTGCGACGGTCGTCGCCGGTCAGGCGATCCATCCTCTTCACCACCCAGCACAGCGCGCTCATTGATAGGAGGCCAGAGCCTGCGTCGCCATCCCGGACGGTGTCGCGCATTTTCTGC